AGGAATGAATTCATCAAAGTCATTGGGTTCGAATCTCATACATGGTCTAGCTTGAAGCAATCTAGATTGTTCCACCTCTGAGGAATATTCCTCGATCTCCACACTTTCTTCATCTTCAATAAGTCTTTCATTTTTGTCAGTAAAAATATTTGTCGTGGAAAATTTTGTTGTACGCATCCTTCTGAAAAAATTTCCTTGGAAAAAATGTCGTGCTCCTCAGGCTGTAAAATATCGCCGTGGCCAAAGTTTACATACTCTTTCAGCTGAAAAATATTGCCTTGGTAAATATTTCTATACTCTGTCAGATGAAAAAATTTGCCACGGAAAAAATGTTTACTTCGGCTTCCTCCGTTGAATCCATTTTATTCAATACATTGGAATTCTTCAGAATCATCAATATATTTTAGAGTGTTGAAGACATTGATTGTGACACTCTAATCGGCTACCCTCATCGTGAACTCTCTCCCTTCTCGCAATCTATTAAGATGCACCCAGTGGCTAAAAAGGGACGCCCCAGAATAATAGATGCATTGTCATCGGTCTCACAGTATAGAATAAGGAAGTCTGTTGGAAATACAAACTTGTCCACTTTCACGATCACATCTTCAATCCTACCCTCGGGACGAATATGTGATACGTTAGCTAGTTGCAAGATCACGGTAGTTGGTCGAGCATTACCCATTCCAAGCTTCAAAAATATGGACTTGGGCATTAGATTCACACTTGATCCCAAGTCACATAGGGCTCTTCCAACATATTTTTCATTAATGGAATAAGGTATAACAAATCTGCCAAGATCTTTTTGCTTCGGCAGAAGTTTACTCAGTGTAGAATAATATTCTTTCGTCGTGGTAACATTTTCCATTCTTTCCACCTTTCTCTTTTTTGTGACTATTGTTTCTATAAATTTGGCATAGATAGGCATCTGATCAATGGCCTCGAGTAGTGGGATATTGATATACAACTTATCAAGGGAATCAACAAACTTTTTGAATTGTATCTCATCATTGTACTTTTTTAATCATTGAGGGAAGGGTGGTGGGGGTTTGACTTCAGCTGCTGCAGGTGGAGGTGAAACTTTTTTTCATGGCATTAAATTTTCCTCCATCAGTAAGATGACTTGTTGAACCCTCGTCCTTCTCCTTTTCCATAAGCAATTCTTCTTGTTCAGCAAGTTCATTTTGACCTTCAGATTCTTCTAGTCTAATGTCTTGGCGAGAAATTTCTTGCTTCTTCCCCTCAAACTTGTCTTCTTGATTAAGTTGGGTACCACTCCTCAATGTAAGAGCACTGCATTACTCCTTTCCTTGAGGCTTAGTGACCTCAGTATCATTAGGAAGGCTTCCTTGTGGGCGAGCATGTAATGCTGTGAAAATTTGGCCCACTTGGTTCTCCAATTCTCTCAAAGATGAGCTATGACTTTGTAATAAAGTAGCTTGACTTTGTAAAATTGTGCCTTGACTTTTAATTGTTAACTAATGTTCGTGTATCAAAGTCTTGGTTGAAGCCATGAAATCTTTTTTCGAAGCCATAAATTATTGCAGAGAAACTTCAAGGGAGTTAACATTTGAGGAAGATGGTGAACCTTTGTTAATATTTTGCCACGGTATCTGTTGATGCTAAAATTTTGAAGGTTCAGAAATATTTTGTTGTGCCTATTTAAATTGCATGCATGGTTGTTGGCCGCTTAATTACCCCATAAAAAATTTTGATATTGACGTCATCTTCGATTATAGGTGTTAGAATAGGGGTTGTTATTGCTTCTATTAAAATTACCCACGAAATTGATAGACCTCTGATTGTCAAGGCATTCACTCTCATGGTGGTTGCCGGGACAAAAAATACACGCCGAGCTGGTTGCTTTGACTTCCTTCACCTTGTTGGAACATTGCAGATTTTTCAACATATTTGTTATGGCAGAATGTTGGGAAAACAGAATCATTGGCATCAAGCTTAAATGCCCCAGATACCTTCCTTCCAGCTCCAAGCCTTGTAAACGGGAATTGATAATCATATTTAGCTATGTGACTTATCAAGTAAAGTACCATTTTCGATACATCCAATATCGTACAAGTGGGTGCATTGACTCCATTATAGAACATCACGACTTGCATCGAATCGTGGAATTTGTGGTTAGTGCATTTGTGAAGCAAACTCTTGTATCGGTCCCAACACTCATACATAGATTCTTCATCGCCCTGGCGAAAACTTGCGATGTCATTGCGAAGTTGTTTGTGCATGTTGGGTGGATTATACCTCAGCAAAAAAAAATTTGCACAAGTCAGCCCATACTCCATCGAGTCAGATGGGACTCCACTAAGCCAAGCTCTTGCTCGGTCACGCAAAGAGTAGGGGAATAATTTTAGCTTCAACAAATATTCATGCACTCCTTGTTACATAAACAAGTCACACACTTCAAGTAAAGAACAAACATGTTGCCTAGCATCTTCATTAGGCGAGCCACCAAATTGATCGATGGAATTTAGCATATTGAACATCACCAGTTTGAGCTCAAAATGGTCTGCCTATATTTTTGGTGCCACGATTCCATGATTTAGATCATAAAGTATAGGGGTTAAGTGATCTCGTATAACTCGTTGTCTTGCATCATTTATGGGAAGATTATTTTCCACGGCATTTAGATCTGTATGGTCATCCACTGGGTCACTAGTCTGATCTGGTAATTGATACATTTTCTTTGGACACACTGAGCATGTCGTCTTTGTCTAAAAATTTTCTCGATTTCAGGTTCAACGAGTAATAGTGGTTCTCCGGTAGTTCTTCTGGTCATACAAAGACAAAAACCTACAAAATAAACAAAGAAACCCAACAAATAAACTAAAATGAGAAACTTGCAAGAAAAACTTGCTATGGAAAAGCTTTAAAAATTCATGCAGTTGTCAATCCCCGGAAATGGCACCAAAAACTTGATTACGTGTAAATGTGTGTGTTGTGGTACGTAAATATACATAAGTATGCACAATCGATGCAAATAATACAGTAGTGAGTGAGAATCGTCTTCACATGGATTGGGGAAATTCTTTAAAGATTGCTACGTTTAGGAATATGTGTCACTAACTAATCCTAAATGCCTAAAGCTAATGATATAAACAAATGAGAAATGTGATATAGAAGATGGTATGAACAAATGGAAAAAGTGTATTGAGGTAGGAATTGTGCGAAGTGGAAAGAGAAGATAATTTTTGTCGTGGCAAGAAAAATATGCAAGAGTAAACAAATAAAAATTGCTAAAACAAAAATTAATTACAAGAATAAGTAAAAAGTTGCTAAAGTGAAAAATGTTTGAGTTATGAATATAAACTAACAACCTCGCACAATCAAACTTCTAACAGAGCACTTGGGTTGGATTTTCTATGGCGAGAAATTATTCTATGCCTAAGATGAACTAAGTATGTTATGCCTATGTTTCCCGACAGGATTTACTAAAGTGTTCCTGAGCTATCTCTAGTAAGGAACCTGATACAACTTTTTCCATAACAATACTTCTCAGCGTAAGCAGTGACTATCGATTAAGTACTATCCCTTTTAGTCGCTTGAAACCCTATCATTTTCTCTAAGGCGGGTTAGAACCTCACCATCCCGGAGTAATTCCCTTGTTCACATAGATCTAACCTAACTCTCTCGATATTAGGTATCAAGTCCTAGAAAAATGGGTATCTCTTAACAACTTTTACAAAGACTATGAGTATGCCAAGGTACAGGCAATATCTCAAAAGCTCTTACAACACTAAGGCATAAGATTAAAACAGTGAACATAACAACAATAAACATAAATATACTTATCATCCATTAAACATAAAATAAAGTATCATCCAAACATTTCCAACACCAAATAAAACAGTTCATGGTGTGACTAAAATCATCCTGAAATATTCATTAAGTACAATCCCTTAAAAGATAAAAAATAAAGAACAAGGAGAATGAAACTCCTAAAAACATAGCTTTGTCGTGACATCATACCACCACCAGGACTGCTCTAGATGCTATCCTCTCTCGAGGGCCTAGCCGCTACTCCGGCGAAACCCGGTTATAGAGGACACCAAGGAAGGACGAGAGGGGAACGGTGGAGAAGAAGGTGTTGCAATCGCCTTTTTCAAAGCTTTTAGGGTAGGTGAGAGTGGGTTTTTTTAAAATGGTAGGCATAATGTGCTATTTATAGTGGGGAATTTCTAGGGTTTAGTGACTTTGAAATTTCTCCAACTACCCTTGAATTCATGCCCAATTCATGGATAATATTGCAGATGGAAGTGGTCCAAAATCCTTGGTAGGGGCAAAGGTTCACGTGAGGTGTAATGGGTAGTAGGCCATGCGACATCAGCAATTTTGTCTCGTACTTCGTCAAACTTGTAAGATAAAACTTGTCGTGGCAAAAATTTCCTCACAGTCATCATCTTTAATTCCTTTGGCCCTCGCATAAAAATTTGTCTCGGTAAATAGTTTCCTCCTTGATCATTTTCTATCACCTACATCATCACAGACAACACACAACCCTTCTCATCAACAACATCAGTTTTATAACGAAAAACTAGCTGAGGCAAAACTTTTCCACCATATGCATGAAATGTCCTAAATGCAACTAAAATGATATGACAATGGCTTTTAGATAAAGAATAACTTAAGTAAAAACAAAAACCTAAAATATAGTCTTTTTACGGAGTTGTCACTTAGTATCATGTCTTTAGCATGCTTGTGTTTATGAAACTCTTAATGTTACTCTAGATTAGTGATTATACTATCAGGCTTTGTAAGCTTAGTGTTCCGATGTTTCCGTTTGCAATTTATTAGCTTAGGTCGTTCGTGGAGCACTGTCACAACAGGACTTCCAACATTTCCTTCAAATTACTGTACTATAACTTTAGTGGGCATATGTATTCATAAGACCGTACTCATGTATTCAGATTTATAAGAAAGAGTTTGTAACATTTCCTTCAAATTACTGTACTATAGATTTTGTAATATTTTGTTTTTACACATCTAAAGAGAGTCCTCTTATATTATGAGAAACTTAACAATCATCTATCCTCTCATGGTCTTCTTTTTTGGATATCTCAGCTCGGCTTTCATTATCTGCATGACAAGGACCATAAGCTTTGCTGCAAGCCAGAAAATACATAAAATTAAGCACGTTCAAGCCAGTAAGAAGGCAATAATAATAATCATAATGTCCTTTGTTCACATTGCTTGAAACCCAACTTTCCCCTCCACTTTTCGTAAAATTGTCAACCGTGTTTGTTATTAAACTCGCCACTAAACTGGCAATGAAGAGTCCTAATCCGTTAATATTGGCTGCAATGGTTGACATGGTTTTAGGCAATTCAGAGTAACAGAATTCAAACTGTCCAATTCCATTGAAAGCCTCAGCCAAGCCACCTAGGACATAGTATGTTAGTAGCCATAGTGCAGACATGTGAACCGGGGCCTGTAGTTCGTTGGAGAGTCCTTCTTGGATCGCGATATTTCTTCGATCATACTCTACAATTGCTAACGCTGCAATGGATGCAGAAGAGAAGAGAAGTCCAATCCCCATTCTTTCTTTCAAACTAAGACGAACCGGTTTCCCTTTAATTTTTGAAGCCAAAGGAAGAGCTATTCGATCGTAGAAAGGAATCCATACAACTATAGAGATCATCAGAAACATGCTAAATGAGCCTGCTGGAATTTCAAAATTTGAAGTTATATGTCTGTCCATGGTGCCTGTTAGAATTACTGCAAATGGGCTTTGAAGAACAGTCACGGACAACATGATTCCTGCAGAACAAAGTGGCATCACTCCGAGCAATGCTTTTAGATCCTCCACTTGATCAATTGTACAAAGATTCCATGGATTTGAAGCAGTTCCCTTTGAAGTGAAGTCGCATTGAGGATCTTTTATCACACAAGCTTTATTTAAAAACCTGGAAAAATTACGAAGAAAATACAAAGGATAAAAGACTAATTTGATGATAAGGCAATGTATTGTGATGATAGTACCTTAGTTTTTCACTTGGAACTTGAAGCATTGATCCCTTTCCGAGATAGTAAGCTTCATTTGTGGGATGGGATGGTAACTCGATGTGCCTATTTCTAACAGAGGCCATTAGAACTTGAGCAAAACCAGTGAACAGGCTTGCTTTGGCTTTCAACTTGATGTAGAATGAAGATGCCAAGAAGAAAGAAAGAGCAGAAACAAACATTAGCATTACAGGTACCCCAAACCCCATTCGCCACCCCACTTTATCTTGAATATAGACGATGAAAGTTACAGCAATGAGACATGAAAACGTGACTGTAACATAGTACCAACTAAAGTAAGCCTGCAAAGATTTTGCACTTTCCGGATTGTTTCTCTTATCCAGCTGATCTGCACCGAAGGCCATGCACGATGACCTCATGCCACCAGCTCCGATAGAGATTAGGCCGAACGAACAATACAAGACTAAAAGTTGGAGTGTTGAGGGGGCTTCGCAAATGGTACTAAATTGATCACAGATAGGCCTTGCTTGAGGAATCATGGCTGTTAACCATAACAGAACCATCCCCTAACATGAAAATATAATTAATGTGACAAAACAAAACAAAAATTCTTTCAGTAGCGGCATCCTGCCTCTGCATAATTAAGTTCTCAAGGAGCATAGAAGAGAACATTTGGGCTGAATAAAATACAAGCAAGAGTCGACAAAATGTATTAACGTCATTTCCAATATATCAACCGGGAAATCTTAGAAATTAAGTGAAAGGGACGCCAGGTCCCCACCAATAATTCAAACCGAAAGTGACAACATTGTACACGAATCAGCGATCTAAAATCTAACAAGAAAATTATTAGAGTATAAAAAACGGAAGAAAGAGGTTGGTTTACCAGAAAACAAACCATGGATCCCAATCCGATCATCCAGTACTTTCCCAGATAAGAATCCGCGAGGAAAGCACCGATGATCGGAGTGAAGTTGGTGGCAGCTGACCAAAAGAAGATTATATTGGCAGCTTTAGCAGTTTCCATGCCAAATTCTCTCGTCAAATACACTATCAAATTTGGTGTTATTCCAGTAGTGGCAACTCTTTGGAAAGCCTCGGTTGCTGTCACGAAGTTGCATGAGAATTGAAAAGAAAATGAAATATTTATAAAACCACCAGTAAGAGCAAAGTTTTTGGATTTTAGGGATACAAACCTATGATGAAAGGTAGAGTTCTTAAGCCACCCTTTGATGGATGGGATGTAAGGAGGGGTTCTCTGGCCTTGCTGTTTTCTTCTTCTGGAGTTTCCATGGGATTGGTTTTCTTTGGTTTCTTAGCCTGTATTCCTGGAAGTAAACGGAATTGCTTTGTTGTTTGGTTGAGGCGCTAAATGAGGATTACAATGGAAAATATGATACTACTTTTTGATAATATAAGAAATCTATGACTAAGCTTGAAGGTGATATATTTTCCAGTTATAAAAATAAAGTGCGTATCTCATGAATAATGTCGAAGTGCGTGATTGTGCGCATAATTCAATTTTGTATTGTTAACGTATTAATCACCCACTAAATAAATTATTATTTAGGCCATATGATAAAAATACTTTTTTATATATTTAATACATTAACTATATATATATATATATATGATACAAAATTATAATATAATATTAAATTTTATTTTATTTTGATTTTATGTTATTAAGTTAAATAGTTCTTGTTTAATTATTTTTTTGTTTTGATAAAAATATGTGAAAAGTTAAAAAATATATATATTAAATTGGATTAGATCGATGTCGGATTTTTAATTAACTTTTTTGAGTAAGATTTAGGATACATAAAATCATATTTGAACTTGATTGGAGTCAAATTTTATTAATATCATACTGGATCACATTCGAATCGATTAAAAATTCACCTATTGTCATCTCTAAAGAATTAGTGCATTTTTCAGTGTTCTAGCACGTTGGCGCAAGAGGTTGTAAGGTATGCTAAAATGCTTTTTTATGGAATAAGGATGAACACAAGTTTTTAAGTTAGTAAGATGAATTTATAAAATTTTAGTAAGAATGAACTTATAAAACTTTGTAGAGTAAAACAAATTATCAATAAAAATATAAAATATTATTTAAAATTTATGATAATTTAAAATTTTCAGGAGCGGATTGCTTTTCTTATCCGGGTAAAATGGACTAAAACCCTGGATGGGTTCATTTCAGTGACAGGAGTTTGGTGTTAAATATAGGAACGGCGTATATATAGCTTGAGTGCATATCTTCTTAAGGTACAGGGTTTAGAGTTTAGTAAAATTAATGCGAGGGTTAAAGATGAATTTACGAGGTTTGAAACATTTTTAAAGAACGTAATAAGTGTGTAGATCACCCCAAACCTGGCATAAAACAAATTCAATTCGAGCCTTCAATTAGGACTTGACTAAGATAATTTAATAAATACAAGGACAATTTGTCCAAATAATAAATAGTGCGAGAAGATGAGTCATAAAAATCCATTTCCCTGACGCCTAGAATAAATACAGGATTTTCATCATCCTCCACTACTCTTGGGCCTATGCGTTTGCAGCAGTGTTCCTCTCCCTATATTCAAACTTAGCCTCCCACAAATAACGGACACAATACTCTTTACATTTAGCCAATACAGCAGTGATGTAATGCGTGGTCAAACTGGGGTTCTCAACCCACTGAACTGCCTGTAACGAATCCGTTTCGATGATCAGGACTCTCTTATCCGCCCATTTGGAAGATGAAAAAATCTGACAAGCTTCGAGAACAGCAGCAAGTTATGGTCCAATGACATCCGACACCCCAATCGATCACGAAAAACGAATGAGCGTATCGCCCTTATTATCCCTTAAATTGAGGCTTTCAAATGAGAGGTTGAAGGAGAAATCGCAAAAGGAAAAGAAGAAAAAAAAAAGGTAAATTGGTTAATTGAAGCGAAGGCTTTAGATTGAGGTAAGTATAATTCTACGTGTACATATATGTTTAGGCCGTGTGATTAATTTTATTTGTGTTGGATATGCTAGATGAAATGTTCATTTATGAATTAAGCCTACACGATATGTGTATGACATTCTTGAATTGTCAAATAACATTTTTCATATTTGAGGATATTTATTATGTGTTAAATTATATACAATATAAACAAGATTTGTTTTTTTTTTTTCATGAACAAGCCTTAGTTGATTAAGTTGTCTATCTTTGTTTCTTTATATTCCCTTGTGTCATAGACTCTAGATCCACTAGTTGTGTTCTTCTTTTCCCTAGAGTCCCCTCTTCTCCATTCTGTTCAATAGGATTATGATTAGATTTAGAATTTATAAAAAAAGAAAGATTTATTTCTTATAGAAGTCATTAATTTTATTAAAAATAGAAAATATCAAAATTACAATAAAGGGTGAAAGTCATTGAGGGTCTCTAAATTCAACAATCATCTATCCTCTCTTGATCTCTTTTTCTGGATGTCTCATCCCGGATTCCATGATCTCCATGACAAGGACCATAAGCTTTGCTGCAAGCCAGAAAGTATATAAAATTAAGCACGCCCAAGCCAGCAAGAAGGCAATAATAGTAATCGTAATGTCCTCTATTCATATTCCTGGAAACCCAACTTTCCCCTCCTCTTTTAGTAATGTTGTCAACTGCGCTCGTTATGAAACTCGCCACTAAACTCGCAATGGAAAGTCCCAATCCATTCATACCAGCTGCAATGGCTGACATGGTTTTAGGCAATTGAGAGTAACAAAATTCAACCTGTCCAATTCCATTCAGAGCCTCAGCCAAGCCACCTAGGACATAATATGGCAGTAGCCATAGTGCGGACATATGCACCAGGGCCCGTGGTTCATCAGAGAGTCCTTCTTGGATCGCTTTGTTTCGTCGAGTATACTCTACAACTGTTAATGTTATGACAGATGCACAAGAGCAAATAAGGCCAATCCCCATTCTTCGTTTCACACCAAGAAGAACTGGTTTTCCTTTAATCTTAGAAACTAAAGGAAGAGCTATTCGATCATAGAAAGCAATCCATATAACTATAGAGGTCATCAGAAACATGCTAAACGAGCCAGCTGGAATTTCAAAGTTCAAAGTTATATGTCTGTCCATGGCACCTGCTTGAATTACTGCAAATGGGCTTTGAAGAACAGTCACAGACATCATGATTCCTGCAGAACAAAGTGGCATCACTCTGAGCAACGCTTTTAGATCCTCCACTTGATCTATTGTACAAAGATTCCATGGATTTGAAGCAGTTCCATTCAAGCTTATGTCTCCTTGAAAATCTTTTATCACACAAGCTTTGTTCAGAAACCTGGACAGATTACAAAGAAAATATAAATGATAAGGATAACGAAGAAAATAAATCAAACTTGCTAAAAGTCTAAAACTCAGAGGTCACAGTCAGGGTAGAGGACGAGGAAAGGGCTGCATAACTTGGGTTTGAACCTAGACCTACCGATTAACATCTTATAAGCATAGTTATATGAACCAATTGTACTAAGCTGTGGTCTCAAATAAGTTGATGACGAGACAATATAAAGATAATGTGAGGCGGATATCATTCTCAAGGTTAGAGCTGGATCTATCGGACTGGATGCCATGTACATAAACTAACAATACTAATTTGACGATACCTTAGTTTTTCACTTGGCACTTGAAGCATTGATCCCTTTCTGATATGGTAAACTTCATTTGTGGCATGGGATGGTAACTCGATGTGCCTATTTTTGAAAGAGGCCACTAGAACTTGAGCCAAACCAGTTATCAGGCTTGTCTTGATTTTCAACTTGACGTATAAGGAAGATGCCAAGAAGAAAGAAAGAGACGAAGCAAACATTAGCATTACAGGTACCCCGAAACCCATTCCCCACCCCAGGTGATCTTGAATGTAGACGATGAAAGTTACAGCAATGAGACATGAAAACGAGACTGTAGCAAAGTACCAACTGAAGAAACTTTGTAATGTTTTTGCACTTTCTGGATTGTTTCTATTATTCAGCTGATCTGCTCCAAAGACCAAGCAAGATGATCGTATGCCACCGGCTCCAACAGAGATTAGGCTTAATGAACAATATAAGACTAGGAGTTGGGGTGTTGTGGGGGATTCACAAATGCTACTAAATCGGTCGCAATAAGGCCTTGCTTCCGGAATCATGGCAATTAACCATAACAAAGTCATCCCCTGGCATGAAAACAATTAATGAGACAAAAGAAAAATGGTTCGTTTCAGTATTGACATCCATCTCTGCATAAAAACCTTCAGCCCTCATGCTAGTTTACTTTTAGTTACATTTTACACTATCCAACGAAAGAGAAGTGATTAATTTCAATAATACAAAGGATGCAGCATCCCCAGTTTCCCACGAATAATTCAAACCAAAACATTAACAAAAGTGACAACTTTGTATAGCAATATGAAATTCTAACAACAAAATTAAAGTAACAAAGCGGCAAAAAGTCGGGGTTTAACAGATTTAAGTACCAGAAAAGAAACCATGGATCCAAACCCGATCATCCGATACTTTCCCAGATAAGAATCGGCAAGAAAAGCACCAATGATCGGAGTGAAGTTGGTGACAGCAGACCACACGAAGATTACATTGGCAGCTTTAGCAGTTTCCATGCCAAATTCTCTCGTCAAATACACTATCATATTTGGAACTAAGCCAAAACTCGCCACCCTTTCGAATGCCTCGGTTGCTGTCAAAATGTTCCATGAAAATTGAATAAAGTGAAATATTTATAAAATCACCATTGAATGCAAAATTTTTATTTTGGGGGGAACGAACCTAAGATGAAAGGCAGAGTTCTGACGCCACCCTTTGATGCACGAGATGCAAGGAGGGGTTCTCTGATATTACAGTTTTCTTCTTCTGGAGTTTCCATGGGATTGTTTTTCTTTAGTTTCTTAGTCTATATTCCTGGAAGTATATGGAATTGCTTGAGAGAGTACGATGCAACTTTTGATGATATGTTTTTATTTTAATCACCGAGTTTGGAATCTATGACTGAGCTTGCAAATCAAGTGCAGGCTTCATGAATAAGGACGAAGTGCATTATTTTTGTTGTTAACTACCTAACGTGCAAGGTGGAATTCGAACCTGAGATTTGTGAATAGAGCAAATTGAGTTGAGATATCGTCATCGCTTCTGTAGTGCCCGATTTAAATTAATCGATGAATAAATCGAATATCAATAATTAATTAAAAAAACTACCTAACGTGCTACCCACCCATTAAATAAACGTTTTATTATTTTTTTTGGGGAAAGGGAATAAGGCATATATAAACTACCTCTTCAAACAACAATGCATATATTTTATGTGCAATTGGTAGCTGCAGGAAACTTTATTATTTTTGTGGCGGGTTGTCAGTGACTGAGCCACGGCTTGCTCGGGTGTGGATACATGCTCAAACTAAAATTTAATTTTTTTTGGATTAATTACTTATTTTATTGATAGTGTTCACCTTGAAATTTTTTGTGTCCACCCTAAAATATAAGTTTTCTTCGATTAGTTAATTATTTTACATTCGTTACCCACCCTAAAATTTTATTTGCACTCGTCCCATTTAAAAATTTTATATTGTTAACATAAAGAGCTCACCCTAAAAAATATTTCTAAATCCGTCGATACAAGTTGTTCTTTAATGATGTTTACTGTTAGTTGCTCATCTTTTAATAAAATTCGGCTTATTTAATATTAAGCCCTTAAACTATCTCATTTTATTAGGTAGACAATTAAATTATTTTTTTGTTGAACTAAATACATAAAGTATAAATCCGTTACCCTGTCATTATCTCTGTAAATAATAATCAATCAGATGTTTTCACATGGTAATAAATTGAATGATAGATTTTTAACTGAAGAAAAAGTTATTAATTAAATTAATGGTACAAATGATCCCCGAAGATCCAATCTCTTTCTAGGTTTGATCCTCCCTGAGTAGCAGTGGAACAAGTCTGTCTTGATTTAATCTTCCCTGAAGAATAGTGGAATGAATTAACATCTCGAGATCTGATTTTTCTTGAAGAAGCAGCGGAACAGATCCCTCTTTCCAAATTTGATCTTCCCTGAGTAGCAGTGGAATGAATTAACATCTCGAGATCTGATTTTTCTTGAAGAAGCAGCGGAACAGATCCCCTCTTTCCAAATTTGATTTTCCCTGAGTAGCAGTGGAGCAAGTCTGCCTCGATTCAATCTTCCCTGAAGAACAGTGGAATGAATCAACGTTTCTCGACATGATCTACCCTGAAGAAGCAGTGAAACGGATCCCTTATCAGATTCCAAAGCACATATTTGACCGGACGAAAACTCATTGTTTCTTCGTCTTTGTCCAATTCTTGTTAATATAAGAATGTTCACAGAGGGGTAGTTGTCGACACTCGTTTTCATCCCACTATTATTATTATTATTATTATTATTATTATTATTATTATTATTATTATTATTATTATTATTATATTATTATTATTATTATTAGTATTAGTATTATTATAATTATTATTATTAGTATAATTAATATTAGTTTTTATTTATTTTACAGCCCAACAGAACCGGCCCAGAACCCCTTACACCCAAGACCTGAGCCCAAGTAACCAAACTCGGGCCCAACTACCAAACCCTAAAGGTCTATACTTTACAAACTTTGGCTAACCCTAACTAATTTTAGGGTTAGCCACACGACGCCACCGTTGCCAAGGGTCTTCTGTCACCGTCCATCTCCACCAATCAGATCTGTCGCCTACTGCACCAATCCCCGGCCACCGACACTTCCATGCACCAAGTCCCCTGCCATGTTAGTACACCCAAATCAACAAGGCAATCAACATGACCAAACACACAACAGTGTAATCATTTCAGTTTATCAGAAAGAAAAAAAAAAGAAAAATATGTAATATTTGGGGTTATAAAACCTTGAACCGATTGTAAACAGTGGGTTCTCTCCTCTCGGTTTTTTCCAGAAATCAAAAGTAATAAAAACAAAAAAGGGCAGAAAGTTTAAAGGTATTTTTTCCTTGTATTTTTTTCGGTTTCGAAACATAGTAAATAAAAAAAACCAAAGCTTTGCATGTAACCGAAACCAAAGAGAGAGAGTAGATTCATACCTTAGTTAGGGGAGTCGAACTGGAGGGGGTTGGTTCTTCTTCGTCAGAAGTATCCAGAGTACGAGAGAACCGAAAGGTCACGGGGGTTTTCGGGTTTGTATGGGTTTTTTTAGGAAGTTTTAGCCTTGGATTTAGGCTTAGGGAGATAAATCGGAGGGAGAGGAGCGTTTTTAGGCTCGAATAGGGATTCCGTCCGCCGTGTGTGGCGGCCGGAGGTGTTGTGAGGCGGGCGGTAGTGGGCCGGCCGAACGGAAGAGAAGAGAGACATGAGAGAGGTTTTGAGAGTTTTTTGGGGTTTTTTTAGTTTCAGTTTAAAATGAGAAAAAAAGAAGAAAGTTGTATTTAAAGAAAAAGTTAGGAGAAATCACGCTTAGGTCCCCCTAACTTGCGTGTGATTTTACAAAATGGTCATCTATAGGGACCAATTTTGTTATTTACCCACTTTTATGTATGTTATATATTTTTTGGTATAATTGTTGTTTAGTCCCCCTAACTTTAGTGTGTTTTTGCATGTTAGTCACCATTAGGGACCAGTTCTATAAATTACCCATTTTTATGCATGTTATATATTTTTAGGGTTATTTGAGTTTTAATCCCTCAATGTTTAGCGTGTTTTTACATTTTAGTCATGTGTAGTAATGATTTAATTTTTTAAATACTTCTGGACTAATTTAGTAATTTACTCTTTTTTCTTTAAAAGCATGTTTTAGGTTAGGAAAAAGGAATAATTAGGAAATAGTCCATGCAGTTTCTGCATGTTTATATTTCGAACTATAGTCTATTTTTATTTAATTTAATTTGGCTATGCAATTTTATTTTATTTTAATTTGGTCCCCATGTTTAATTTACTTTTATTCTTTGTAATTTTAGCACTCAATATTAAAAATGCTCATTTTAGTCACTTTTGCACTTTATTTTGTTTTAATTTTTAACATGATGATTTGATTTTTTGTATTTTAGTCCTATTTATATTTTATTTTATTTTGATTTTTGCATGTTGCTCGCATGTTATGCCATTTTAGTGATTAATTAATTTTGCATGATACCCTCATAAGCATTTCTTGACTCAAATCGAAATAATTTGACTAAGGGTAATATTCGTTCATTTTAATATTATCGTAGAGTGATTCTCTTAACGTATAAGAAAGTTACTTTTGATAATTTTAAAATAAAAGTCTATCTAATTAAGTGACACGAATTAAATGGAAACCATTTTAAAATTGGTGGATTGGGAAAAAGATTATGTTCTTTTAATTAAATTCATAGAGAAAAGACTGATAAATCGGATCTAAGATCCCGTCTCGATTTATTCAAATAATTGAACATCCTTATTCTCATTAAATATTAGTAAAATAAATAATAAATTATACTTGATTGATGTATGCTTTTAATTTGTTTTTGCATGTGTTTTTTAATAGGATTTCAAAATAGTAACACTCGAATCGATATTGAGAATAGTAATATCTTTTCATTTCGGTAGGAATAATAAATGATCGCTTTAAGACATAAGACGTCTTTTATTCTCGATTGGAAATAATTCGATATTTCCGTTTTCTCTTGAACTAATATTGATTTTTAAGACGGAATAGTGATATCTCTTCATTTCGATTGGAGTAATAAATTATTGCTTTAAGGTATGAGAGGTCATTTATTCTAGATTAAAAATCATTAGATATTATCGTTTTCACTTGAATCGATATTGAATTTTAAGACGAAATAGTGATATCTCTTCTTTTCTATTGAGTAATAAATGATTGTTTTAAGGCATGTGAGGTCATTTATTCTTGATTGGAAATAATTATATATTATTGTTTTCTCTCTTAAAATTATTTTTGTGTTGTTATTTTGAATTAATAATGAACTTTAGAATGGAAATATAATATTTCCTTATTTCGATTGGAGTAAAAATCGACTGCTCTAAAAGGTATAGAAGGTTGATCATTCTCAATATGAAATAACTGAATATTATTGTGTTTCATCCTAAAATTCAAAACAATATTATAGAGGATCTTAAATTAAATTAGACTCGAATTCTTAAATTTCATTGCAAAGACAACTAATTAATCGACTATGTACCGATTTAGGACGATGTGAGGTGTTAATCATTCTCTACACGTAACCGACTCCCGAACTCAAACTTTGGTAACGCAGACCGCAAATTTGTTGTTTTAATTAAAATGAATATTTTTTTAAATGAAAAATATTTTTTGGGTGCCTAATCACACCCTATTCAAAGGTTGGTGGAGACTCTTCGAACCATATTTTATCGTTAACCGATAAATAAATTATTCGGAACGAGACCACTCTCCTTTCTTCAAAAACCGTTTCGACAAGATGCAAGGAGGGGTTCTCTAATATTACAGTTTTTTTCTTCTGGAGTTTCCATGGGATTGTTTTTCTTTAGTTTCTTAGTCTATATTCCTAGAAGTATATGGAATTGCTTGAGAGAGTACGATGCAACTTTTGTTGATATATTTTTATTTTAACCACCGAGTTTGGAATCTATGACCTAGGAAGCACGGGGACGCCATGGTTATGCCGTTTCAAGTACCCGATACGTCCCCGGTACGGGGACGACACGGGGACGGCTGGGGTACGTATCGGGGACGTGCCACCGTGGCAGGGTACGGCTGAACGACGTTGGGGACGTTTCACCGATATCTTTGGGACGTTTCGGGGACGGCATGGACTTTCACATGCGTCCCCAGGCTCTGTTATTTCCGCCGCACTGCAGTTGGAGGAGATGAAGAAAATGGAACTCCCGTCAGTATTACGGAAGACACTGCCACACACCGCTTCCATGGAAGGTTGTTGGACTGCACCGTCAGTGTTCAGTTTGATTACGCCGGTGGTAGGAGGACTCCAAGCCTGGGTTCTGGTCGGACGGGGAACTATCAACCCTGAGCTTCTAGAACGGTCTCGAAGACTTGGCACAATGGGAATTGGGAAATAAAGTAGGTTAATTTAGAAGAAAAAAATGGAAGACAGATGACATAAAAAGTGGACCTGAAATTCAATTCTTCTTTCCTTACGAGAGTGAAATTTTAAACGGTGTTTGTTTTATTTTTCTAACAGTAGCAGTTTTGATTTAAGAATAAAAAAATAGAGTATAACAAATTTTATATTTGAAATAGGATAGAATTAAATCCATTTTCCGGCACCTTTTTTTAATTCGAAGCAAAACACATTAAGGTTATAGTAGATGACTAAATTCATTAAAAACGCTTGATGCAAATTACTTTTATAGAATTTGACCAAAGTTTTTTAATGAAGTTTTACTTGAGGGAAAAATGAAGACTTTTTGATTTAGTTATAACTTGTGAAGGTTTACAATTATAAAGGAGACTCCTTTTGAGAAACTAATGAAATCAGATAAAATGTGAAGGCATTAACGTGTCTTTAAAAATTGTAAGATCGTATACGATTTTTTAGTTTTGCCTAGCTTAGAGTTATGGTAGATGGTGTTAATATTAGCATTCCTTCGTACATGCATACAACATATATATTTTCTTTGTTCTTCTATATTATATGTTATTCTAACAATGCATAGAACCGCTTGATGAGCTAGATTTAGAGAGCCAGTTAATCTCGGAAGATGTTAACAATGTTTGATTTGGGTTTAATATTTTTCTAGACTTAATATTATGATTTGAGTCTTAAGATTTGACACTTTAATATTATGATTTTATTATGGATTTTATTATTTTAGAGTTAATATTATGGTTTTAATCTTGAAATTTGACATTTTAATATTGTGATTTGTTTATGGATTTTAATATTCTAAACTTAATATTATTGTTTGAGTCTTGATTTTAACTTTATTTATGATTATATATATATATATATATATATATATATATTTATTTATAATTTTAAAATTATTTTATATGTCGTACCCTTGCCTTCTCCGTACCCTGTAATTTTAAAATTTGCCGTTTCCCGTCCCCGTCCCCGTATCCGTATCCGTATCAGTGCAACATAGTCTATGACTGAGCTCGCAAATTAAGTGCAGGATTCATGAATAAGGACAAAGTGCATTATTTGTGTTGTTAACTACCAAACGTGCAAGGTAAAGTTTGAATCCTAACATTTGTGAATAGAGTAAATTGAGTTGAGAGATTGCATTCGTTTTTGTAGTACCCGATTTAAATTAATCAATTAATAAATTGAATATCAATAATTGATTTAAAAAAACTACAAAGTGCTACCCACCCATTAAATAAACGTTTTCTTTTTTTGGAAAGGGAATCAAGGCATATACAAACTACCTCTTCAAACCACAATGCATATATTTTATGTGCCATTGATAGCTGCAGGAAACTTTATTATTTTTGTGGCGGGTTGTCAGTGGCAGAGGCAAGGCTTGCTCGGGTGGATAATTTTAGGAGATGATCTCCATCCTAAAATTTTTCGTAGCCACCTTAAAATATAGATTCTCTTCAATTAGTTATTTATTTTAAATACATTATCTCTTTTAAAATTTTATTTGTTTTCGTTCTATTTTAAAATTTTATATTGTTAAAATAAAGAACTCGCCCTGAAAAATATTTTAAAAATCCGCCACTGCGGGTCATTTTGTAGTCATGTTTACTGTTACTTTCTCTTCTTTTAATAAAATTCCGCTTATTTAATATTAAGCCCATAAGCTATCTCATTTTATTAGTTAGACAATTAAATTATTTTTTTGTTGAACTAAATACATAAAGTATAAATTCGTTACCCTGTCGTTATCTCCGTAAAAAACAATAATCAAGCAGATGTTTTCACAGGGTAGTAAATTGATTGATAGATTTTTAACTGAAGAAAAAGATTATTAATTAAATTAATGGCACAAATGATCCCCGTAAATATCCAACTATTTCAACTCCTCGCTCCTGCCGCCACAGCTCTTCACAGCATCATCCAGTGGTGGAACCTGGTTCCAGCAAAATATTAATTTAGCTCAAAGAAAATAGTATAATTTAAGGGTTTGTTGTTCAATTAAGGTATCAATTTATTAGATGAAAAACTAATATTTTTAAGCATAACTTGAATTTGATAATTTTTAATTCAGTATTTACTTTTTTTTGTATCCACATTCATCTCAAAACTTAATAATTTTTCTTAATTTAATATTTAAATTATTAATCATTAGGATTGTATCACATCATTATCTAATAATTTTAAATATATAGATACATTTTACTTTTTGGTGATGAAATGTAAAACTTAAAAAAAAATTGAAGGAAACTGTTAAAGTTAAATATTAGAAGTTACTTTATTTTATATTTTTTAATTAAATGGTCTTAAGAAATTAACTTCGAGTATTATTAAAATTACATATATATTTTATCATGGTTGAAATAATATGGTATTTAAATTTGGTTAAAATAGATTTGAAAAGCGAAAGGATAGGAAAAACTAGAAAAATAAGATGAAATTATAAAAAATATTATTTAACTAAAATTTAAAAGTGATATTGTTTTAATTTTTAAATTCAATTATATATATAGGGATGGACGCAGGATTTTATGTTAGTGGGCGAACTTAGACTTAAGGGGATGAACTGAAATTTCAGGGGGCGAAACAAATTTTCAATAGGAAATATATAGAAAAATTTAAAATATATGGTAATTTTAAATTTTCAGAAGACGACTACCCCACCAGCCCTCCTTCGGTTAATCCCTATATATATATGTATATATATATATTGTTATTCCTTTTTTTTCTTTTTAGACATCCTAAATTTAATCTTAATTTTATTTAGAGGGGAGGGAAAGAGAAGATTCTAGAGAAAAGAAAGTGAGTGATCCCAGTGAGTCTAAAACTCGTAACCTAAAGGAATAATAGAAAATAAGTATAAATAACTTAGTATATATATATATATATAATAAATCATAAAATATAAGTTGAATAAAGATATAATTCTAACACAACATTAGAAAATGTAACAATATTTTAATAATTAATTTGTATTTGATTTAATCCCTGAAAAATAAGGTCAAACTGTGATAATCTTATCTTATACTCAAGTGGTACTAATTAAATTAAAAAAAACACTGAAAACTCACTTAATCATAAAAGTATATAGTCAAACATTAAATTTAATATTTTTAACCCATTAAGTGTATACGCTATCATTAAGCTAATCAGTATATGATTTATATTCCGGGGAAAAAAAGGGCTATTGAAAAGAAACTAATTCTAATAATAGATGCTTTCTTAGTCCAAAATTTCACCAGCTCCATTCAGCTAATCATTATATGTTTACTTTCTATTTTCTAAAAGATTTACAGTTATTTGGTATCATTAAAATTGAATTTTATTAACCATTTATTATTTTTTTAATTTTATTCTTTATTCTTTAAATTTTTACCTATTGAAAATATAAAATATATTTTAAAAACTTTAATCAATTAATTTTTAAATATAAATTTAATTACTTGAAGTAATTACTATTAATTTAAAAAAAATGAATAAAAGACAACTTTAATAAAACTACATGAATATAGGGTTGTTCATTTGTTTAATTCGGTGGCCGACCGAACCGAATTACCATTAACCGAATTAACTGGACTTTTTTTTCTTTAACCGTTAACCGAACCAAATTTTTTTCAAAAATATTAACCGAACCGAATAAATTTATGTTAATTCGGTTAATTTTCGAATTAACCGAAATTTTTTAAAATTTTCTAATTTATATAAAAATTAAATAGTTTTTAATTAAAAAAACAGTTTCTAATTAATTTAAATAATATATAATTATAAAATAAAAATTGTATATAATTTTTTTAATTAATTAAAATTGATTTAGGTTTAAAAGTTGTTGGATCTTAAATTATTAATTAGGTTTTAAATGATTAGGGCTGAGCCCATATGTTATATATAATATATTTAATATTTTTTAATTCAAAAAAAACAATTTACAATTAATTTAAATAATATATAATTATAAAATAAAAATTTTATATAAATTTTTAATTAATTAATATTGATTTCGGTTTAAAATTTATTGAATCTTAAATTATTAATTGAGTTTTAAATGGTTTGGGCTGAGCCCATATGTTATATATAATATATTTAAAATTTAAAATTTAATTTCGGTTAATTCAGTTAATTAACCGATTTCAAACCAAATTAACCGTTAACTAAATTTAAAAAAAAAATTAACCGTTAAAGGGACAAACTTAATGAAATCAGTATATATAGTAGGACTATTTCCGAGAAGGCAAATCATATCACATGCATCGGAAATGGAGCATGGAAGTTCTCGACATCTAAGAACTTCTCAGCGGAACGAACGGTTTCCTGCCACGTGTCCTGGGCAGACACTATGAGATGACGTGTTTTAAACAGTAACTACATGAAATTCAGTGCGAAGGATAAATCCGTAAATGCAGTAAAACTGTAAGTGAAAAACGAAAGGCAGGTGAAGAAAGTTGAAGATGCCTTTCTTATCGCTCGTAGAATATTCTGAACTGACCGTTATATCCTTTAACCTCCAATGGATTCCAAGCATAAAACCACAAGGGCAGCACAGAAATTCCACTTGATGTGCTTCAGCCATGTATTTCAGCAGGAAAAAAAACGCCTGTAATTGGTTAAACGACAACCTTCTTTAAATCTTCATATCAACCAAACTCTTTTTTCACTTGAACCAACATTTGTTAATTCAACAAGCGAGAAAACACATGAAACAGATTCTTCAATGAAGGCAAGAACATGAAAAAGATAAGAGATTTGGTCTGATCAGGTGAGCATATCAACAAAAAACTGAAATCTGGAAGAAAAAATGGCCACACAGACCAAGGCCAATTTAGTTAAGCTGAACAAAAGTGGCCAAGATGGTTCTTCAAAGGCAAAATTTGATGCTGCTATCAACAAGAAGATTGAAAGCTCCAGCAAACAGCCCGTTGATGCTAAGCAAAAAACTGTTGTAACAAAAACAGAGGTACCCCATATCGAATTTCCTTGTTAAATTCTTCTTTTTTAGATTTGTTAGTTTTTTTATTGTTTCTCAATTTCATGATCTGGGTTTCAATTTTTTTTCTGATTAAAGTGAATCGTAAGTTTCTAGGTTTGATTTGCGTGTCTGTAGTAAATCGTATGATGGATGGATTGATTAGCCAATCAATTTAATTAATCTTTCATGAATTAGTAGATTTGGCAGTTTTGTCTATCGTCTCACTGAAGTGTACGGATTCTTCATTGATTTTGAAGGTAAAATCGAAAACAAGTTCAAGTTCATCAAAAACCACTGCAACTATAAAAACTAAAGTTAGGGAGAAGAAGGTTTATACTTTGCCTGGCCAGAAACATGATCCTCCTGAAGAGGTTGTCTTCATATAATCTCAAATCTCTGCATTTGTCCATAAACTTGTCTCTGATAATTAATGTTAACGTCTGTTTTCTGGGCAGAGAGAACCATTACGAATCTTTTACGAGTCTCTGTTTGAACAAATACCAACAAGTGAAATGGCAGAATCTTGGTAAGGCTTTCCTTCTTGTAACAATACTTCTTGTATATGTATATAACTCTATATAAAGCTTAAGAAAAAGACTCATTGAACCACTTGCATATTGCTCAGTTCAAAGCCTAAGACCTCTTTTTTATGCCTTTCGAGTTAGGATCATGTCGCAACTCGCAATCATACTATCTTTTGATAGTGGAAGGTCAATTCTTTTATCTGATGCTTCATAGTTGTTTGGTTAGGAAGATTCCGCCTAGTAACATACCGTAGTAGAAGAAAAACCTATTCAAGCCATATTTTTCCGTCTCATATTCTGCCACCATCGCTTATTCCGGCATTTCCCTATCTCTTCTCAGATGCTACTTCTTTTCTCCGAGGCATGATAGCACCAGTATGTACCGTATAAGGCAAGCACTATTCTTATTTTAAGGGTTTAGTCTCCCCCAGAGTGTTCTACTATGAAATAAGCTTTCCTACCTGAATTCAAACAGTACATTTATCTGCTTAAAGTAACTTGCACTTCTCTTTTAAGTGCATAGTTCTGTCAAAAAAGAAAAGAAAAAGAGCCCATATTTCAGTATTTTCTACCCTGCAATACAGATATCAAAATAACATGATGAACCACTGATACATATGTGCTTAACTATTGTTTCTCTGATCGTATTAGGGACCTGAAATTGCTAACTTTAAGGGTGCCTTAAATATAAAACAGAAACTATGCAGGTTAATCAGAAAAATACATATATGGACTTTGCATTTTTTTTATAGGGACGACGAATCAGGTACATATTGAGGTAGTGATTGGGCTAGCCTAATGTCGAAAAGTTCAACGCTGAACTTCATTATCATTATTATCTTCCTATATATACAGAGGTTATCTGCATTACTCTGGGATACATTGATTAGTCTAAGCCTTACAGCTCCGTTCTTCTTCTCACTCTTGAGAAAGAAGAATCGATGCTAAAAATGGCCAAGTCTGTAGCCGTTATCTTCGATATATACAATGAATTATATTATTTCAGTTTGCTTACTTTATCCATTTTCCTTCCATAGGGTTCTTTTTCCTGACATCAGTTAATGATCTTCATTATATTAGTCTTAGTATTGTACGAAGATTGATTAGGTTTCGGGTCCGACATCGTAGAATCAGTGCTAGAGGTCGCACTTTGTAAATATTCTTAGAAGAAAGGAAGTGATAAATCAAATGAAGAGAGAACATATGTTTGAATTGCTTGCTGAAATAATAAAAAACAGTATGCTTTTAAAGTTGAGAATTACAAAACTAAAGTTCAACTTAGAATCATTTTCCTGACCTTTATCTCCTAAAAAAAAGTTAATCTTCTAAGAAGATAAAACCTAATCATAAAGTACAAGTAAATTATAATTAGAACTTAGGATAAAAAAAAATCCTTTTTTAATGGCTTTTAATCACGACATCTTTCCACACTCTCCCAAGCTGGGTGTATATGTTGTACAAACTCAACTCGGTCTCAAGTCCATCAAAAGCTCGTTCTTGAAAGAGCTTCGGTAAGAATATCCGCAAGTTGTTGAGTAGGAATATAATTTAGTTCCACAGTCCCATTGTTGACCTATTCTGAAATAAAGTTGTTGGAATTTCTAGAATCAAGGAACAATATCTTTTTTCTTAATTCTAGGAGTTTGCCTTATGTAAATAGTCAACTAATCTAATTCCCTTATCTTAGGAATTATTTCCGAACTTAAAGTAGTTCTTCCTTATAAATTGTAATTTAAGTTTAGAGCAATAAAGTAAGAATTTCATTTCTTCTCACATTTGTTCATGGCATCAGAGCTGTAGGACTCATTCGATCCTATTCTGCTTTTCCTCTAGAAATTGTTCTTGCGTTGTTTTCTTCCTATGGCAGAACAACCAGAAAATCTTTTCGAGTCTAAAACCTCAGCCCTTGTATCATCCAACACTTCATCCTCTACAGAAAATACCTTCGATGTCTGCCTAACCAAATCTCAACTCGAAGCCCTACACAAGATACTTGAAACACCTACTGCTTATGGATCCTTGGCTATTCAAGGTGCTGCTTTGAATATTACTTCGGATTCAACTAATCAATCTACTTGGATCCTAGATTCAGGTGCCTCCGACCACATGACAGGTAACTCATCCCTGTTCCACAGCTACATCCCCTGTCACAATCAATCTCGTATCCGAATAGCTGATGGTTCATAATCGCCTGTTGCTGGGACTGGGGCAGTTTAACTCACTGAAAAACTCTCTCTTGACAAAGTCTTACATGTCCCAAGTTTATCCTACAATTTACTGTCAGTTAGTAAACTAATTGAGGATAATGATGTTGTTGTTGAATTTTCTGCTCTTGGTTGTGTTGTACAGGAACAGAAATCGGGGAAGATGATTGTCACTGCTAAGATTGATGATGGACTCTACATATGGAATAAAGATAATAAGAAAGGAAGTTTGGCGTTATCTATTTCACATGAGGACACAATTATGTTGTGGCACCAAAGGCTAGGACACCCAAACTTCTTGTACATGAAGTATGTATTTCTACTGTTATTTCGAAATAAAAATCCAAATTCCTTAAAGTGTGAAATCTGCCAACTCTCAAAACATACTCGTGTTCCTTATACATTAAAACCTTACATCCAATCCAAACCTTTCTCCTTAATACACAGTGATCTATGGGGGGCTAGCCAAGTGAAAAATATTACGGGGGCTAGATGGTTTATAACATTTATTGATGACCATACTAGAGTTTGTTGGGTTTATCTCCTCAAAGAAAAGTTCGAAACACCCAAAGTATTCCAAAATTTTCATTCAATGATTAGAACCTAATTCAATTCCACCATACAAACACTCCGCACCGATAATGGAAGAGAGTACTTCAACTCGATTTTAAGTCCTTACCTTGCAGAACAAGGCATCATACACCAAAGCTCCTCTCCAGACATACCACAACAAAATGGAATTTCGGAAAGGAAAAAACAACACCTATTAAATGTTGCTCGAGCCCTAATATTTACCACAAATACCCCAAAATACCTATGGGGAGAGGCTATTCTTACCGCATGCTACCTAATTAACCGAATGCCATCCAAAGTCCTTAAATTTCAAACACCTCTAAATACCCTTCAAAAAGCTTTCCCTCTTTTCCATGTTCTTACCTTACCGGTTAAATTATTCGGGTGTAAAGCCTTTGTCCATAACCATCAACCCAACCTATCTAAACTTGACTCCCGTGCTCATACTTGTGTTTTTGTTGGCTACTCCCCTACGCAAAAAGGGTACAAATGTTACTCACCTACTTTGCATTGTACATTTGTTTCCCGAGATGTAACCTTCTTTGAAACATAACCATATTTTTCAGCAACTCATCTTCAGGGGGAGATTCTCAATGAAGATGAGAACCTCAATACCCTCCTTATTACTCCACCACCCGATCCTAATCTACCACAAAATTTTCATACAAATGACATCCTCATAGTCCCCTCACAACAGCCCTCTTCCCAGCAGCACAATGATGATCCTAGTTTGTAGAAACAACAACAGCTTGCTCCAAAGCTTGCTCCTGAAACTCAGCAACTCTGTACTCCTGAACTTCGGGTTTATTCAATGCGTCATTACTTTCCTGAAACTGACATAGCAGTGCCAAATTCATCTACAACCGTGGACTGTTCTACAACAGAGGTAACCCCTGATTCTCCATCTATTGATCTCCCAATTGCTATTCGAAAAGGTGTAAGGACCTGCAACCAACACCCTATCTCTCGGTTTGTGTCTTATGGAAATCTATCCAAGTCATACAAAAACTTTGTGACAAATATTAACCATGTAAAATCTCCAAGGGATGTGAAGGAAGCTCTTGAATCACCCGAATGGAAACAAGCTATAATGGAAGAAATGAATGCTCTAAAAAACAATGGAACATGGGAAATCTCGGATCTACCTGAAGGAAAAAAAACAGTAGACTGCAAATGGATTTTCACCACCAAATTCAAAACTGATGGAACTATTGACAGGCACAAGGCTCGACTTGTGGCAAAGGGATTCACTCAGACATATGGGCTCGACTATGATGAGACCTTTTCACCTGTTGCCAAACTTAATACTATTCGGGTTCTTCTATCACTTGCTGCAAATCTTGATTGGCCTTTGACTCAGTTGGATGTTAAAAACGCCTTCCTAAATGGTGAATTGGTCGAGGAAGTGTTTATGGACTTTCCACCAGGATTTGAAGAAGAAAAAGGTCGGGTATGCAGGTTAAAGAAATCACTATATGGGTTGAAACAGTCCCCAAGAGCTTGGTTTAGTCGATTTACCAAGGCTATGACCAGAAAGGCATATACCCAAGGACAAGCTGACCATACCATGTTCTACAAACATTCAAAGAAAGGTAAATGCTCCATCATTATAGTCTATGTTGACGATATCATTCTAACATGAGATGATTCGAATGAAATCAGATGCCTAAAAGAGCTCCTTAGCACTGAATTTGAGCTTAAGGACTTGGGAAATCTAAAATACTTCCTCGGAATGGAAGTAACAAGGTCTCGAACATGTATCTCCATCTCTCAACGAAAATATATTCTAGATTTACTGAAGGATACTGGCATGTTAGGTTGCAGACCTGCAGAGACCCCAATGGAATTCAATTTGAAACTTGGAAATAATGAAGATGGAGAGGAAGTAGACAGGGGGAGATATCAACGACTTGTGGGAAAACTTATATATCTATCTCACACTCGTCCTGACATTGCTTTCAGTGTGAGTGTTATCAGCCAATATATGCATAACCCAAGGGAGAAACATCTAGAGGTTGTCCATAGGGTGTTGAGATACTTGAAGGGAACCCCGGGTAAGGGCCTATACTTCAAGAAAACAAATAACCGATATGTAGACATCTACACAGATGATGATTGGGCAGGTTCAGTGAATGATAGAAGGTCTACAAGCGGTTATTGCAGTTACGTGTGGGGTAACCTTGTGACGTGGAGAAGTAAAAAACAATCTGTTGTAGCCCGCAGTAGTGCTGAAGCTGAATATCGAGTTGTGTCACATGGTATATGCGAGGGAATTTGGATACAACGACTAATGAGGGAATTAAAAATGCCTCACACTAGACCTATGAAACTGTACTGTGACAATCAGGCAACAGTGAGCATAGCATACAATCTGGTTCACCATGATCGTACCAAACATGTAGAAATAGATCGCCATTTTATCAAAGAAAATATCAAATCAGGGGAAGTATGCATAACCTACCTACCAACTAAACAACAAATTGCAGACTTGTTTACCAAGAGCCTAAACAAGAACATGTTTGAAGATCTCACTAGCAAGCTGGGTTTGATGAACATCTATACACCAGCTTGAGGGGGAGTGTTGGAATTCCTAGAATCAAGGAACAATATCTTTTTTTCTTAATTCTAGGAGTTTGCCTTATGTAAATAGTAAACTAATCTAATTCCCTGATCTTAGGAATTATTTCCTAACTTAGAGTAGTTCTTCCTTATAAATTGTAATTTAAGTTTAGAGCAATAAAGTAAGAATTTCATTTCTTCTCACATTTGTTCAAAAGTGTTTGTCAATCTTCACATGTTTTGTTCGGTCATAATTAATAGGATTTTTAGCAATGCTTATGGCTGATTGATTACCACTTTGTATCTTGAAGTGATCCTTTGAGCTCTAACTCTTTTAATAGTCTTTGAATCCATACTACTTGAATTTCTGAAGCAAGTGCTCGAAATTTTGCCTCCGCACTACTTCTTCGAGACTTCGAACTAATTTTTGCTTCTCCAAGTAACTAGATTACAATAGCCACTTTGAGACCTCCTTCTAGTTAATTCTCTAGCCCAGCTTGCATTAGTGAATACCTTTACCTCACGGTTTTCACTCTCTTCAAAGAGTAATTAGTGAATACCTTGCATTAATGAACAATATGCTGGAGGATATATTACATTTATTACTTGTTAGTAGAGCATGGCTATGGAGAAGAATTAACATTATTTGATTTGCAGGATGATGGAACATGGCTTGTTGTCCCCTGAAAAAGCCAGAAAAGCATTCGAAAAGAAACAGAGAAGGCAGAAGCAACTCCGGGCCGGCACTCCAATGAAACCTTTGAAACCAAGTAGCAAACCCGAGAGTTCAAAGAAAGGAGATTTAAAAGCCAAGAAACGGGTCAACAACGATATTGACGAAGACGAAGATGACTTCGTTTTAAGCCTGAAAAGAAGGAAAGGGTAAGAAACCTAGTGTCCGTCTGTACTGTTGCATTTCTATGATAACCTGATTTAAATCCCATTCACAATGACATAGAAAGACATTCTTTATGTTTTTCAAACTGAATAGATATAATAAGAGAAGACAAGTTCCTGACCTATTTGTTCCATGCTTCAATTTTTCATGATTCGAAGATTGGACTTCATACAGCCTCCGCACAAAAGGAAATAAAAAGGACCAAATTATGCTTGCTGTTAACTGTCATAAGTACATTTTTGAGCTTGTTTTTCCATTTTAGAACACATTTTTATTGCAGAAATCAGCTTCTAAACCAGACAACACTGTGATTAGTCATGTCTGTGAGCCTGAACTTCAGGGCTAGCCATTTAGTCATAGTCGAAAATAGTAAGAAAACAAGTTTTATGGTGGCTCTGTCCCTTGGATGCATGTTTGTGTAAAAATATCTTTGTCATTATGCTTTGTAGTTTGTACCACTATTATGAATAAGTGTTGCATCCGGATACGTGTAGGGTTCGCTACATGAGTATATTCAATCCTTTTTTATGTTCTCATGTATTTGGAGGGCTCATGTCTCTATATGTATCGGGGAATGTGTTGGACACAGGTACTTCAATAAATATGAAGAGGCAGCAACATAGGACTCTTCTGCTATGAGTACCTTTCTACTCAATTCAATTCAATTCATTAAAATGTCCATTACAGATTAAGAACAATGTGCATTGATCAAACTAGGATGAAGCTGTTGATATCTACGATCCCTTGCTAATGTAAAGGATCATAACCCTTCTTCTATTCCCTCTTTGAGATATCAACCGAATTCTATACATTAGAAAGCTCAGGGACATATTATATGGTTTTAAGATTTCCATAGATTAAGGTTTAGTTTCTCTAAAATACTTGGGGGAACCTCAATTTGTTAGTGTTAAAATTGTCAAGATTTCCGTGTATTTAGAGATTTTATGTCCCCATACTCATGTTGGTAACAACATCGGGGATAAGTAGCATCAGCTGCCGTAAATTCGCACAGCAATTGATAGCAACTGTATTTTGAGCCGGAAAAAGCTCTGAGACCATTACAACGGCGTTACGGAGCTCATGGAGAGAAGCATAGAGCGAAGCATACCGTGTTTGTGAAGACCACACTGGCATATAAGTGCTCTGATTATAAATGAAGATTGATGTTGATCAGGTCTCACCTTGGCCATATTTATGATGAATTTATGTTTCAAGCTGCATATAATATATCCTCCATGTACTGGCGGGGTAGTATTTACAAACACCAGTCTGGTTTGCACATGAGCGGAATGTGAATGAACAGATTTGTGTAAAGAAAGCTGGAGATCACCAAAGCATATACTTGGTGAAGCCCATAGAAATAAATTAATACAACAAAGGTAATTATCACGTGGATGGGCAATCCCATGTGACTAACGGTTCAGATCAATGCCATTAATGGTTGCCAGAACTAGTCATTTCATTGTACTATTGGATGTAAAGGTGATGAAACTTTTACCCAAATTATCTCTTCAGTATGGCTATGGAAGTTTAAAAAAAGAAAAAATCTTCTGGTATTCTTCTACATTCGTACACTCAAAATGTGTTCCCATGTACCAACTCCATCATTGGAGGAAAATAGCTTGTCTGGTTCCAAAAATGGCAAGTAGTACAGTATTTTCATTACCATTATCTCTAAAATAGCCCAAAGCATGACAACGACGAGGCGAAGCACATCATTAACTAATTATTTATCTGACATAAAATTCAATTCCTGTGAGAGCACGTCCCTTTAAATTCATGTTTATCTATCTAACCACACACCAGCCAGCGGACACATTTAACAAACCTGAATTTCATTTCAAAATTATTTGCTTTTCTAAATTTAAATGAAAAAGGTTTTATGCATGCCATGTGGGCTTTTTTACCCAAAAACCACCCTAATATTATAATATTACCGGATAAGCATTGTTTCCTCAAATTTTATCGATCTAACACCCTTTCTAATAAGCGTTGCATTAAACACTCCTTTGCCTAGATGGACTGAATGCTCGTTTCTTTGAGAGCACATTCCAAGGGAAATGTTGACATGACATTATGTGAAAAGACACGTTTCAAGGGACACATCTTTCATTGTCCACATCATCCCTAAACGCATTTTAAAAAATATGCTTTAAAAAATAAAACTATATGGACTAATATCATAATTTAATATATATTAGTTCCATGAGTTGAAGAGCTTAATGGAGTTAGTTTATATATGCATATTGGAGTGTTTTGGTTATGTTTCTTGACAATGTGGGATAAAAGCTAAAAGGTGTGTTCCTTAACTTGTTTATATCTATATCTAATAAATCTACTTATACTTTATTGTTAAATTATATTAGGTTAATATTTATTATTAAGGTTTATGTTAATTAAGATTAGATATTTTTATATGTTAATATATTTAAATAATTACATTATGTTAATATTTATTATTAATGTTTATGCTAAATTAACTTTTGCAGCTTATATATATCAAAGGGGAAATGTTATACTCATGTATGATCGAATTATATTCGGATGGCTCAAACGCCTTAAAATATTGTATGTTCTTTTGTTTTAAATCTAGATTATGAGATAATGGGTCATTTTTATGTAATTTATTTAGTTATATGTTTTTGTTGTAGTAATTTGAGATATCTTCTTCCTTCTGAAAATGATGAGCTTAAGAGTCTAACACATCTGTAAGAAGCACCTAGAAGTTTTTTTTCAAGTTATGATAATCAAGATTGTTGCTTCCTACTAACCGAAAAATGATTAGATATCTGAGCTTCAACAATTTTAAAGGGGAGATCCCGAAGAAACTTGTGAGTCTACTGAAGGTGAAAATATTACAAACTGCTTTCTAATTGATATATATCAGCTTCAAAAGTTAATTTAGTATAAACCTTAATAATAAATATTTATTATTAAGGTTTATATTGTTAATACTTATTGTGCTGAAAAGATTATAAATTGCTTTCTAATTTATATATATCAATTTCAAAAAGTTAATTTAGTATCTAATACTTTTTTATTATGTTTCTTGTCAAATTTCTATGTAAACCTCACATCTTACATGTTCATGGCACCAAGCAATTTTTTTTCTTCATATTGATGGGTTGCCCTAATAGTCTTTCTTTTTTTTCATTGAAAGCTGTTTCAGTTGAGTCAGAGGAGGGGTTGGGGTTCTCAGCCTTGACTGCCTACATCCATCTGCATTTCTTCTTGTATTCGCTATGGTCATCGACAACACTAACTCATGGGTTAAATGCTTGGACTCATTGGGTGGTGGGAATTGCATTTATTCTTTCTTAATTCGGCCGATCCATCACATTCACATTTCAGACCCCCATTAACACATATCGGCAAAAGCCTGCTCCCAATTAATTGCCCGCCTTTAAACACACTTTCAAATATTCATAAACATGTTGATTTAAAGTTTATAAATATGTTTGTTCATTGTTTTCAGATATATTAAATGAATTAGTTTGACACTTTGGTAAATATTAAATGAATAAAAATTAACACTAAATAAATAGGAATAAAATTTTAAATTTTTTTAATAAATTAAAAAGGCAGAAGGGTACCTAAGGGTCTCGTACTTTTAAAAAAAAATCAATGTGGCCCTCCACTTTTTCTGCATCTAATGTGACCCTCCAGGTCAGCGAAAAAACTCAATGTGATCTTTTGACCAACGTTTTCGTCGTTGACCAACGTTTTCGTCGTTAACCAACGACTCCGTTATTTTGTCCTGACGTGGCACGTTAAGCAGGCCAACATCTTATTTTTTTTCTCTCAATTTGTCCCTCCAACTCAAGAAAATAACTCAATGTAACCCTTGACCATCTGTTTAGTGTTGTTATAAATGAGAAAATTATACCATTCATCGCTCAACTATATTCTCTACTCTATTTTAGTCACTAAACTTTTAAAGTTTTCAATTTAACTTTTGAATTAATCCTTTTTTATCATCGTGATTTTTTTATTAATATTTATGTTCGATGTGGCAATTATTTTTCTTATTTTATTAATATATGATTAAAATAATATTAATTAAATTAAAATTTTAAAATTATATTGAAACAAAAAATATTCCCAAAATTATAATTAAATTAAAAAAATATTCCCAATGCTTTATATATTTCTAAATCTCCACTCTCCTCCTTTATCCTCTCATTTCATTTTTCTTCCTTTCCAACCAAAGATTTATTTTTTTCTTTCATTACCCAATCAAGTAGCTCATCCAAAGTTTTCATTTTTTTACAAGTTCAATATGGGTTCACTGAATCTAGTAATGAAAGATAAATAAATAAATCTTTGGTTAAAAAGAAAAATGCCACATCATACATAAATATTATTAAAATAAATCATGATGATTAAAATAGGAGCAATTCAAAAGTTGAGTGATTAAATTGAAAACTTTTAAAGTTTAGTGACCAAAATAGAAGAGAAAAAAATAAAAGGGTCAGATTGAGTTATTTTCTTGAGTTGGAGGGCCAGATTGAGAGAAAAATAGGATGTTAGCTTGCTTAACTTGCCATGTCAGCACAAAGTAACGGAGTCGTTGTTCAACGATGAAAAACGTTGGTCAAAAGATCATATTGAGTTTTTTTTTGGGTTGGAGGGCCACATTGGGTGCAAAACAAAAATGGAGGGCCACATTATTTTTTTTCCGAAAAGTTTGAGGCCTTAGGTTCTCTTTTGCCATTTTTTTATATATATAAACAAAGTGTTAATTCAAATTTAAGTTTGGGTTTGAGTTTTTCTAGAGATAAGATAGGGTCATATTGAGTTTAAGTCTAAGGTAAAAAACATTTGATTCAACCGGATCCAAAAATTAATTTAATTATACCTTATATATTTAGGAATGATTGTAATAATATCTTTTTATATATTATTATTATTTTAATTAGATCATTGTTTTATCAAATAAAATTAAGAAAATTCACAAATATATTTATATCAAGTCGGTTCTGATCGAATTGGATTTTATCTTAAAAGACAGATCAAATTTTAGATCAAATGAAATTATTTTTAAATATGAATCGAATCGAATTTCAAATATAGTATATATTTCTCGGATCGAACCAAATTAACTGAAAATCCAACCGAAGCCGCTCCATACCCATCCCTCATTCAAACTCAGTTAGTTTATAGTTCTGTTGTAAAGGCAAAACTCTGACTAATATTATAACGTAATCATACAATATTACTTGACCTCGCTCTGAAAC